AGCGGAAAAGCTGTCCATACAGAGGTAAGCGGTCAGCTGGTAAGCGCAAAAAGGAACAGCGTCAAACCGCATTCATTTTAATGACAAAATGCACCCATGCATACTTCTGGCTGCATAATTCACGATCTCCAGAAATGTAGATAGGGCTACATTTTAAAAATTAGATAATGTTGGATCTTTGGACCTTTATTACCAACTGAGCATCATTCAAAACCACAGCTTGCTTGAAAATTGTCACTACCCATCCCTTCATGATTACAGCCGACATCCCACTACTCGTGAAAGGGAGTCTCCTGCTGAAGTCTGCAAATTAGATAAAATGTCCCAGAAATTGTGGAGACAGGAGAAATAAGCACCACTGGAGTGCGAGAGACACACGTAGTGATATAGTAGGTATTTAGTTTGTTAGGTTACATTAATAGCGCAGTGAAGAAGTATCTCTAGCACAAAACGCAGCAGGGGTCCACCTCGCTCTCTCTCCCTTACACACACACACTTTGCTACAGTATAGTTCCTCACAGTGCTCTTTTTTTTATGGATTTTTCCAAATTAACTTTCGTGCAATGTGTAAAACAGCTCGAGGTGATTAAAAACGTACTGCAGTGCATGTGGTATGATGTTATTGTCTCTCAAAAGACAGAGTTGACTCAGAGTTGTGTGTTATTTCTCCCAAAAACGTAAATGATGTTGATAATTACTGACTTTCATGTCGTTTCAATCCAATCCTGAGACTTCAATTGAATCCTTTATCTTCAGAACACAAATTGTGATATTTTAGAAGAAATTAAGCTCTCTTATCCTCCATAGACAGGAACTGTCCAATGATTTTCAAAGTCTAGAAAAGTCTAAAAACCTTTTTAAAACAGTCCACGTGTCCTAAATGGTTCAACTGTTATTATACGAAGCTTCAAGAACATTTTTGGCACCAAAATAAACTGTAAAAAAGACTATTGACTAATAAATGACTATTAAATGAAAACGCATACAAATACAATTTCAAAGTGGATTCATTAATCAAAAAATGATTTGCTTTTATTACTATTTAAAGCTTAAATGTTTGAAAAAGTTAACTAATATATCGTCACATTGGAATTCTAAGGTTCTATCTGCGTTCTGAACGATTTTGAGATATTGAGCTTCAAAGTTTTTGCATTCCATTTACAAACGGTATGAGTGTACCATTTGTTTTTTAAATCAAAAGTCTTAAAATGTAAACAACTTATAAAAAAACATCCCAAAATTTAAATAAGTTGTCATTTAATAGGAATATGTCAATAACTCAAGTTCGACAAAAATGTCAGATAGAGCCTTATAATTCTAAGGTGACTATATATATATGTTCAACTGACTCTTATTTTAAGTATAATAAGTCTAGCCAAGTAAAACTTTGATATATATGTTATGTCAACACATTCAATCCAGATGCTAAGTTAACATAGCTCAATATATTAAGTTGTCATAACTAATTGACACAATCATTGTTCACAGGGTATAAAGGATGAGAGAGCTCCCGGATGTCATCTAAAATATCTTATTTTACATTCTAAAGATAAATGAAGGTCTCAGAGGATTGGAAAGACATGAGATTGAATAAATATAAAAGAATGTTCATTTTTGGGTGAACTAACGTCCAAATGTATCTTATGGAGTTTCATGGTGATGTCTGACACACGACAAAACTTGGTGGATCACATCATGTTGAGAAGGTAAAACAGAAGCCATGTTTTATGTTCATACGCTCTATAAAATCTTGAACACACTGCACACAATTGACTGATCACAGCAGGGTCATCAGACCAATTACTGCAGATTAGCATAAGGAAAAGGAGAAATTTGTAATAATGGCTCCTTTGTGTTTGATTGGGCAATTAAGGTAAAAAAAATATATTCATATTATAATACAATAAAAGTGTTTTGTGACCTTACTTGCATCTCAACTTGTTGGAGACTTCCAAAACCAAACGATGGACTTTTCATAATCCATAGGGACTATTTAAATGGCAACTCCAGAGATGACAATTGAATGTGTTCTTAGTAAACCCACCTGTTTACAGTAAATTACATTACCCATCATGCTTTACAGAAGATTTCAGCAATCTTAGCTGACAAATTGAAGTTCTAAATACATTCCCATTTAGTTATTTAACATTTTTTTTTAAGAGTTCACACTTAGCTGATGATTGATAATGAAGTGTGTTTGTCATGCTGTCCTGGGAGAGAGCCCTGAGCCCAGAATATCCTCGAGCCCGGGGCTCCTTCCCGTTTGGAGGGAGAGAGGAGAGTTTGAGCTCAGGTGGGTCTCGAGAACTCCCCTACTATGAACTGCTGATATATATCTGACTGTTTTGAAGTAGTGCATGTCTTTGAATGGTGGGAGGAAACTGGAGGACCCGGAGAAAACTCACACGAAACACAGAAAGGACATGCAAACTCTGCACAGAAACGCCGACCAGCCCAGAGAGGGCCGAACCAGCGGCGTTCTTGCTGTGAGGCAACAGTGCTACCACCTGGGCCACTGAGCCGCCCTATCAGAGAAGGGGAGGAGTAGGGGTGGAAGGGGAGATTCTTCAAGATGAAGATGACTGGAGTAGAAAGCTCTGGTAATTTATAGTGTGTTAGTATTCATCTGATTGGTGCAATATGCAAAGTTAATGCGGTACCAGCTGTGTTCGATCATAAGCATGAGATCCTCTCGAATTTTTTTTTTTTAGAAATAAACCACACTTATGGGGCGGCACAGTGGCTCAGTGGTTATTACTGTCGCCTCACAGCAAGAAGGTCACTGGTTCCAGTTCTGACGGGGCCGTTTCTCTGTGGAGTTTGCATCTTTTTCCCATGTTTCCCAGTACTGAGTTGTGGCTAGAAGGGGATTGCCGGAATAGTTGGTGGTTCATTTCGTCATGGTGACCCCGAATAAATATGAGACTAAGCCGAAGAAAACAAAAATGTATATGAACATTATTTTGTGAATGTTCTATTTTAATGAATATTAAAAGAAAGTTCCAAAAACATTATTTCTAAAATAATTACATGCTAACATTTATACAACATTAAAGGAACATTACTAAATATTCTAAAATCATTCACTGTGAGCAAATTAAGTCAAAAGTTCCATCCATAACCCTAAAGCTGTCATGATCACCAGCGATCCAGCCTGTGCAGATCACTGGTAATCACGCAGATCACATAGGACTACAAATCTGCTGGTAATTGAACTACAAGAACCAGTCATGCACCACACACACACACAACCAGTTCCTGATCCTGACTGATTGCAAACACAGTTGATGATGTTCAAGTATTGTTTACAAATGCATATATACGGCTCACTTTGAGGCACTCATTGCTGAGTCTTGTTTACTGTTTAGTGACATTTCAACACATTTCCTTTGTCTTGCTTTGCCGTGTTTAGAGCATTGCCTTGTTTATCTTTTTGTTTTGTTGTTTCTTTTTGTCTGCTGCCTGCCTTCAAACCATCTGCTTGTGTATTTGACTACAACTCTGGATTGACCATATACATCTGTTAGCCCTTGTGTTCATCATTGCTTACCTGACCTCTCTAATAAACCTGCATTTGGATGCACACTTCCGCTGTTGGTGTCACATCTCTTTATAAAAGCAATTATATTTCATCATTTTTAATTTAAACGTGTCCTTCTCATGCATCATGGGATTTTAAGAATTAAATCTACTTCAAATGAAAGTTTGTAATGAAAAATTCAGAGCGTTATTTCAGGGCTACCAATTTCAGAACATTTTGCTTTTACTGTAAACACATTCCCTATTTCCCTATCCTGACTTTTTGAATGCAAAGTGGGTCTATAAGATATGATATCAAACATTTATAGACTGGGCGGGCAGCGTCTTGCTTCCTTTTTTAGGATCGTAGCCTGAAGGAGAGACTCTAATTGCAACGGATTCATTTTCTACATTCTGTTTGAAGTTGTGCTGCGTCAAGTATCAAGTGGAATAAATTCTCGGATTCCTCGCTGAAATCCATGCCAACCTCCCCCTAAAAACTACAGAGTGGGGTACATGCCATGGCTAGAGCTGGGAAACGGGGAAGACAGAGCTTGATATCCATGTTATGTAATGAGGCGCTAAAGAGATTAGCTTCATGTTGGCACTTCACACTTCCTTTGAACTCCAGAAGAATTATCAGGGATTTCACCGAATGAACAGAGCAGTTGTATCCAGCTATAAATGTTTGTTATGTTTGTTAATACTGTGATTATCTGATCACTTGTTGGTGAAAAACTATAAAAGGAATAAAGGGAAATATAGCTTATTATGTTCTCTTTGTGATCAGCATTGTGTGGAAAAGTTTTGCATGCGGCTGCATTACATGTTCAAGTTAACTCTGACCTATGAATTTGCATCACATGAATGCATGGGACCATTCATTCATTCATTCATTTTCTTTTCAGCTCAGTCCCTTAATCTGGGGTCGCCACAGCCGAATGAACCGCTGACTTATCCAGCATATGTTTTATGCAGTAGATGCCCTTCCAGCTGCAACCCTGGGAAACATCCATACAAACTCATACTCTACGCACAATTTAGCTTACCCAATTTACCTGTACCGCATGTCTTTGGACTTGTATGGGAAACCAGAGCACCTGGAGGAAACCCACAAGAACATGCAAACTCCACACAGAAAAGCCAACCGGCCCCGCAAAGGCTCAAACCAGCAACCTTCTTGCTGTGAGGCGATCGTGCTACCCACTGTGCCACCGTGATGTGCATGAGACCAATAGAAGATCAAAACTTGACTGATTTATGATTTTTAAAAGTGGCATCCCAAAACCCCATCCTTTAACCCAACCATCATCAGGGGATAAGTAATAAGTAAGAACTGATTGGTTCATCAACCAATCAGAATCGAGCATTCAACATTAGAATAATAACTAGTAGGTGCAGCTTTGAGGCAAGATCTTTAATATTTATTAGTCAATTCTTAGCATTGTACTTGTGTGTAATACTATACTACCCTCACTTACTTGTGATCGTCTGCCTCTTTGCCCACCAGAGGGATGATGGGTAATAGAGTCCTCTTATAATAAGCAGCAGGACGTCCGGCATCATGGTTGGAGGCTCGAAGCCCCAAACTGTGAAATCCTCTTTTCCAGGAATTACCTAAGACAAAAAAAAAAAAAAAAAAAAAAAAGATTGGCTTTATTCTAAGAATCACTTTCCTAGGGAGCTGTGAGTTGTAATATCTGGATGCAGCCTTTATGATGCAAGCTGAGATCGCATCACTCAGGGATGTAATTTCAGACACAATGCACTCAATGGAATGAATGACGTCACTGTGACGGGTAGGGTTAGGGGTGGGGTTAGATGAGCGCATTAAAAAGCATTAGATGCAGCTCAGATTGCACTGCACCAGGTCTGCATCCAGTCCCCTCTCACCTGTTTTGATGGAGGCGAGGTCTCTGCTGAGTCTGCGCTGTTCTCGGGTCAGTGTGTTGAGGTGATAATGTTTGGCCTGATCCAGTCTCTGCAGACCCTCGGCCAGTCTGAACTCTGTCCTCCTCTCTTCTCGCCTCTGAGCCTCAGCGGGCCGCGACGACCAGTCCCCTCGACGCATGACCTTTCAAAAATATCATAAAAACATTAACCTTTATTCATTTAGCAGATGATTTTAAGTCAATTACGAATGCAGAAAACAACAAATGATTCATCTTATGAGTAGCACTTGTCGAAAACAGGCAAACCGCTGAGTTTAACTGTAAAAAAATAAAAAAAATAAATTATAATAATAATAAAAACAGGCCAATAGGAACAAAACTATGGCAATCCACAAAGCATCATTGCTGTAATACTATGAACTTTCATGTGGAGGCTATGGGAAAGAGCACTATCCTGCTGAAGAGTTTGCCCACTCCTGTGGTCTGTAATGGGCAGCGCAAATGTCTTGATACCTCAGGCTGTTGATGTTGACATCCACTCTGCAGATCTCTCGCACGCCCCCATACTGAATATAACCCCAAGCCATGATTATTCCTTCACCAAACTAGATGGATTTCTTGGGTCTATGCAGGTTCCAATAGGTCTTCTGCAGTCTTCTGCAGTTCAGCACCCCTGTTTATTTTTTTCCCCAATATCTGTTCTGTTCTGGGAAGATTGTTTCAGAACATTTCTAAGCATAATAGTTTTAAAAACTTATTTCTAATAACTGATTTATTTAATCTTTTCCATGATGACAGTAAATACTATTTTACTAGATATTTTTCAAGACACTTCTATACAGCTTAAAGTGACAGTTAAAGGCTTAACTAGGTTAATAAGGTGAACTAGGCAGGTTAGGGTAATTAGCCAAGTTATTGTATAACGATGGTTTGTTTTGTAGAATATCGAAAAAAAAAATAGCTTAAAGGGGCTAATAATTTTGTCCCAAAAATGTTTTTTTTTTTTAAATTAATAACTGCTTTTTATATAGCCGAAATAAAACAAATAAGACTATTTCCAGAAGAAAAAATATTATCAGACATACTGTGTAAATTTCCTTGCTCTGTTAAAAATCGTTTGGGAAAAATTAAAAAAAAGAAAATAAAAATCAAAAGTGGGCTAATAATTCTGAATTAAACTGTATATATATATATATATATATATATATATATATATATATATATATATATATATATATATATATATCTGTGTGTGTGTGTGTGTTATTCTGATGTTTTTTGTAATGACCTGATATTTTTCAACTAAAGAATGTTTAAGAACTAATGAAACAATTGTGCAATTAAAAAAAAAAACAATCAAATAATATTTTTTCTTTTATGTGTAATTATGAAAAATAGTGTCATTAATTGTGAAAATTTCAAGTTTTGAATATACATATATGACATATAATGTTAAATATAGTGTTTTTAGATTAAACTAAACTGCCCTGTTTGACTCAAGTTTATAGAATTACCAGTTTAAGTTGACTTCTGCAGGATGAAATGAAGACAACAACCCCTATTATTCCACACTCAGTCACAGCGTCATCAAACTAGGTCTGCACGATTTTATAAAAATGTGAAAATGCAATAATTTGTTTTGCTGCGATACATAGTGAGATATGAATATAATTTCATTGGATGATTTGAATAGCTCTATTTAGGAAGATTTAATTAACTTAGATCGACAGGGGTGATCAAGTGCGTCTGCATAAAATATAATAATTTACAATCATAAGTATGGCAAAGCAATGAGAAAAGTTAAATAAACATTGCTTTAAGGTTTCCTTTTGAGTCTAACAGTATACAATTATAGAAATTGAACAATCAAACATAAAACAACATGATCATCACTGTATAAATAGTTTTATAAAATAATATTTCATAAGATATTTTAATCTTTAATAAATAACCTAATTCTGCAATTTCACTTTAGTGGAAATATAAAGTAAAATCAATGCTCACAATACATTGTTTAGCACTTAACTATGTTTTTGTTTGTTGTAAAAAATGCATAATGTACTTTTAAAATGTTAAACTTATATGTATATTTTACTTAGAATAGAACTGTTTGTTATATTTACAGTCATTTTTCCAGGAAATGATAACTGTTGTATATGTATAAAACACCTTTCAAAAGCATGTGTGTAGGCTTGACACAAGAGCATTAGGGAAACACAAACTCCTCCATTCGCTTGCACTCATGCTCTCAGTGTAGAGAATCCTCCGAATGGGCCTCTGGGATCTCCAGCTCGCCTGCGTTACTCATGCTATTGTTATACATAACCATATTCAGCTCATCCATCTCATATGCCAAGAGAATATAATTATTCAAAGCATCTCATTCACTCCAATCCCCGTTTGCTTTTCGACAACTGGGTCAACCAAAGAGATTCCTAATTCGGAAGACTTGGAGAGACAGCACGAGCATTATATGCTAAAAACAACGAGTTGTAGAGCCTGATCTGTTCTTCTGTATTTATAGTGGCAGCTGTGGGGTTTAAAGTGACCTGTGTCTTTTCAAGGTCACTGTCGAGGACATGAAGGATTTATTTTAAAACCTATAGTGACCTGTTCTGCGGTCAGTATAGATGTTTCAATGATGTGTATTTTAAATTGTACTATATTGAGTCTTAACAACAGGGTTAAATTCGTTAGAGGTAAAAAAGAAAATAATATTTGTCAGAATATGGATTTGATGTTGGAATTATTTTGCAATAGTTTTCATATGGTTCAGTTGAATCAATTTAAAGTGTGTAAACCTCTCCCCTCTATAAGTCAGGTCTGCTCTGGCATTTTGATGTATTATTTTGGTCAAGTTGATGTAAATTGGGGAGAATTGATACTCCTGTCAGCTAAGACCTGGAAACCGAAGCTACAATTCAGAACAGGCTCACCAAAATTGCATAATAGAAAATTGGAAAAAACGCTGCCCTAGACTGATGAGTCTTGATTTCTGCTGCAACATTCCAACGCAATCTCACGGCAATTCGTAACTTTTTGATTTAGTGGCTAATTTGTTTAAATTCGCACAATATAATTTGTACAATTTAGTACGATTTGCTCATTACTCAATTACGGTTAGGGGTGGGGTTAGGTGCCACGCCTCTTTTTTAAAATCATAGATTTTTGTACGACTAAACTTGTACAAATTCGTACGAATTAATTACTGAACTGGAAAAACGTAAAATACTTACGTTTCCTCATGAGATCAGGCTGGACATTCAGATGGTAGGGTCAGAATTTGGCATCAACAACATGAAGGATATTTATAAAGTACCGGCTTTCCAAGTATTTGTAAACCCAGCACTAGTAAAGTGGCCAGTGACCGTATATTACAGTAGTAAAAATTTTATAAATATTTATAAAGAAATTACCAAAATATGTAACATTTTAGAAATATATGATTACCAAATTTTTTTTTTTTAATATTTATTGGTAATATTACTCTGTATTTGATTATTGGCAAAAAAAAAAAAAAAAAAAAAAAAAAAAAAAATATATATATATATATATATATATATATATATATATATATATATATATATATATATATATATATATATGCAAACTTTACTCCTAAATTAAATGTGTTATTTTCAATTAAATTTAAATTACAAGTAAGGGACTAAGGCATAGGTAGAAACTTTTTGAGCCAATGACTGCTTTTGTCTATGTTTGGCCCATAGGCCTACCCACATGAAAAAAACCTATTTAATATAGGTTTTAATATAAGTTTTAAATAGATGTGACATACAGTAAGTAAAATTGGCTATTTTTTATATTATATGTACATATATGCACATGTATATATGTACACATATAAGTACACATTTATGTACTTATATAGGTACATATATGCATAAGTACATATATGCATATGTGTTCACCTGTTTACCTATATATTAGTAAAATTATTAAAATCCAAAGCTGCTTGACAACATAAACAAATAAATGTATTTTTTTGTTTACCTAAGAACAACCAAATAGTGCAAAAAAACTATAAGAACAAAAATAATTGTATCTTCATACAAGAAAGAATTGACCTTGTAAATGTTTCAGGAAAACGTTTAGAAATCATAGCTTTCCATCTTCTCTCGCTTATTTGCCATAGTCAAATTCTATAACATGCCAATTGCATGTGATACCAATTTTAAGGGTTTGCATATACATACCTTTTTTATTTTTAGTTCATATCTTGTATGTACATATAGTGCTCACATTATATGCGGATATAAAGAAGCAATACAGGAGACCTGCATGGCCTGTATATTTACATATATGCACCTCAATTTTGCCTAGATGTGGCATATGTACACATAGATACTGCATATATTATCATACACAGTAAGAATTATTAGCCTCGCTTTGATTTTTTTTCTTTCTTTAGTATTTTCCAAATGATGTTTAACAGAGCAAGGAAGTTTTCACAGTATGTCTGATAATAATTTTTCTTCAGGAGAAAGTCTTATTTGTTTTATTTCGCCTAGAATAAAAGCAGTTTTTAATTTTTTAAACACCATTTTAAGCACAAAATTATTAGCCCATTAAAGCTGTATTTTTTCGATAGTCTACAGAACAGAACAAACTAACCTACCTAGTAAACCTAATTAACCGTGTTAAGCCTTTAAATGTCATTTTAAGCTCAATAGAAGTGTCTGGAAAAATATCCAGTAAAATATTATTTGCTGTCATCATGGCAAAGATAAAATAAATCAGTCATTAGAAATGGCTTATTAAAACTATTATGCTTAGAAATGTGTTTAAAAAATATTTTTTCCGTTAAACAGACATTTGGGAAAAAAAATAAACAGGGGGCGAATAATTCAGCGGGGCTAATAATTTTGTCTGTAACGGTATGTGCATATAAACTGCATGTAGGTTTTATATTTGCACAAACATCCTCATTTAGGTTCTTTCCATGTGGGTAGGCCTATATCTAGAATCAAACCAATGTATCATCACTGACATGCCTTTTTGACGATTGGAAAATTCTATGTCTTCTACATTCTATTTTCAAAACAACTTCATCTTCAAATTAATTTTACATGACTTAAATATCCTGAAATGTTATGGTACATTTTTAAAGAGAGAGAGGAATTCAGAAAGTGTTTGATATCAGCTTTGATGAAGCACTTTTAGC